GCGTCTTCCTTGGCTTCCCCACTGACGCCCCGCTGTGGCAGTTTTACTACCCTCGCACGCGTCCAGTCTTCTCCTCCCAGGATGTCACCTTTGACGAGTCTGCCTGTTTCTACAGGCTACAGCCGCACGCATCTCACCCAGTCCCCCTCGCGCCTCTCTTCTTGGTAACAGTCTCCCCCCCGGTAGACCCCCTTCCCCCACAGGGTCCTTCTCCCTCAGGTGTGTCTCAGGTAGACCCACCCCTATTGGTTGAGCCTCTGGAGATCTCTTCTGACTCCTCTGGCCCAGCTGAGGGGGGTGACCCCTCCGCTGACAACACGGCGGCGACTCGTCGCTCTCCACGCTTGGAGACCCCCCTTGGTTTTCCGCCTCGGTCGTCTTTGCCGCCTCCACAGCCTGCTGAGACTGCTGGTGCTGAGCCTGGGGGTGCTGAGACAGAGGGTGAGGGTTCAGGGGGCGTTGCGTCTGGGGGTGGCAGTTCTACCACCCGCGCGAGCGTCGAGTCTTCTCCTCCCATGACGTCACCTTTGACGAGTCTGTCTGTTTCTACAGGCTACACCCGCACGTGTCCCACCCGGTCCCCCTCACGCCTCTCTTCCTGGTACCAGTCCCCCCCCCCGGTAGACCCCCTCCCCCCACAAGGTCCTGCTCCCTCAGGTGTGTCTCAGATAGACCCACCCCCCTTAGTTGAGCCTCTGGAGATCTCTTCTGACTACTTTTGCCCAGCTGAGGGGGGTGACCCCGCCGCTGACGACACGGCGGCGAATCGCCGCTCTCCACGCTTTGTGACCCCCCTTGGTTTTCCGCCTCGGCCGTCTTCACCGCCTCCGCAGCCTGCTGCTGTGGAATCTGGAGCTGAGACTGCTGGTGCTGAGCCTGGGGGTGCTGAGACAAAGGGTGAGGGTTCTGGGGGCGCTGCGTCTGGGGGTGCTGCGACTGGGGGTGCTGGTTCTGGGGGTGCTGTGTCTGGGGGTGCTGCGACTCCTAGTGGCGATGGAGCTGTGGGTGACCCTGCTGGAGGTCCTGGAGCTAGAAAGCCACCGCAACCTGACCTACTTGAGACGCTCTCGCCGTATGCGATTCGTGCGTGGATCGTTCGGCGAGGCAGTCTTGGTGGTGGAGGGTACGGTCCTGCTGGTGCTGGAGCTGCTAGTCCTAGAGGTACTACTGGTGCTGGAGGTGCTGGAGGTACTGCTGGAGGTACTGCTGGAGGTACTGGAGCTGCTAGTGCTGGAGGTGCTGCTGCTGCTGGAGGTGCTGCTGGTACTGGAGGTGCTGGAGCTGCTCGTCCTGCCGGTACTGGAGGTGCTGGAGCTGCTGGAGCTGCTAGTGCTGGAGGTGCTGGAGCTGCTAGTGCGGGAGGTGCGGGTGGTGTTGGAGGTGCAGGAGGTGCTGCTGGTGCTGGAGGTACTAGAGCTGCTATTGCTGGAGGTGCTGCTGGTGCTGGGGGTGCTGGAGCTACCACTGCTGGAGGTGCTGGAGCTGCTGGAGCTGCTAGTGCTGGAGGTGCTGCTGGTGCTGGAGGTGCTGGAACTACCATTGCTGGAGGTGCTGGAGGTGCTGGAGCTGCTAGTGCTGGAGGTGCTACTGGTGTTGGAGGTGCTGGAGCTACCACTGCTGGAGGTGCTGGAGGTGCTAGTGCTGGAGGTGCTGCTGGTGCGGGAGGTGCTGGACCTGCTGGTGCGCTTCGCCACCTTCTCGGTCTTCCACCAACTCCTAGTCGCTGGTACTACTCCTCCGTTATTGTTCCCACAGCTACTACCTCACTCCCCACTGCCTACTCCTGCCCCTTACACAGCTGTGACAGAGTCCCTGACTGAGCGTCGAGAGCCTGAGACTCGTGCTTCCACTCCTGAGCGTCGAGAGCCTGAGACTAGAGCTTCCGTTCCTGCTCGTGTTTGTCGTGTGCGTCGTCCTCGTGCTCCGGATGTTCCAGGCACTCACGATATGACACTCCGTCCTTCCTCTGTTCCACAGCGTGTTGTCCTGCCGTCACCTCTTGCGTCTTCTCTTCCTGACGTTGCTGACCCTCCTTCTGACCTTGCTCGTGCTTCCAGTCTGACTGTCACTCGCTTTCTTGCTACAGTTGTGACGGACCCTATTTTCTCGTCTCCTGTTGCGTCTGCCTTAGTCGCTAAGCTAGTTGACTTTGATGCTGCGCACCGCCTAGAGTACCTTGCGAGACTTGTTTCTGACCCTGACCCTGCCTGTCCTCCGTCCGTCGGGGGTGAGGTTGCCCTTGGCTGTGACGTTCTTGAGGACAGACAGGAAGAGCTGGAGTGTCTTGCGGCCGCTTCACCTCATCTCGCGACCATGCTGCTTGCCCCTGAGGGAGACCCGGATGCACTTGAAATCCCCACCCCGCACTCTTACAGAGAGGAGATCTCGGGTGAGTACTCCTCTTAGTGGCAAACAGCCATGGATGCAGAGATGGCTTCCTGGAAGTCCACAGGCACATACGTTGACAAGGTTCCCCCACCTGGGGCGAACATCGTCTGTGGCATGTGGATTTTCAGGGTGAAGCGGCCGCCGGGTTCTCCGCCTGCCTTCAAGGCATGTTACGTTGCTCGAGGCTTCAGTCAGCGTGAGGGGGTCGACTTCTTTCACACCTTCTCCCCCACCCCGAACATGACCACTCTTCGGGTGTTGCTACACGTTGCAGCTCAGCGTGACTACGAGCTGCACTCCCTCGACTTCTCGACAGCTTTCTTGCAGGGCAGCCTTCACGAGGCCATCTAGCTGCGCCGTCCACCTGGCTTCACTGGGTCCTTTCCTGAGGGTACCCAATGGAGCCTATGGCGACCAGTGTACGGCCTTCGTCAGGCACCTCGCGAGTGGCACGACATACTGAGGACGACACTTGCAGCTCTTGGGTTTGCTCCTTCGACTGCTGACCCGTTGCTGTTTCTGCGCACCGACACTACCCTGCCGCCGTTCTACGTTCTCGTGTACGTCGACGACTTCGTTTTTTCTACTGCTAACATGGAGGCGCTGGCCCTAGTGAAGACAGAGCTGCATGAGAGACACACCTGCACTGACCTGGGTGAGCTGCATAGCTATCTTGACTTGCAAGATCACCCGGGACAGAGCACGGCGCACCATCACCCTGACTCAGTCACACATGGTGCACCAGGTCCTTCAGCGCTTCGGCTTCCAGTTCTCCTCGCCACAGCCCACTCCTCTGTCTACCGGCCACTCGCTCTCACCTCCACCTTCAGACGAGTCCGTAGAGCCAAGTGGTCCATACCCAGAGCTTGTGGGTTGCCTCATGTACCTGATGACGTGCACACGACCTAACCTCGCATACCCTCTCAGCCTCTTGGCTCGCTACGTAGCTCCCGGTAGACACCGAAAGGTGCACTGGGATGCTGCGAAGAGGGTACTGCGTTACTTGTGCAGTATATCGGGCATGGGGCTCGTGCTTGGAGGACGGGGTTCAATGGCACTCACTGGACACTCCGACGCTTCTTGGGCCGACGACCAGGCGACTCAGCGTTCGTCACAGGGTTACACCTTCAGTCTTGGAGTTCCACTCGTTCTTCTTCTGTGCTTGGTTCCAGCTGTGAGGCCATGGCTGCACAGGAGTTACGCTGGCTGACCTACCTGCTGACCGACTTGGGGGAGCGGCCTCGTTCTCCTCCAGTTCTGTACGTCGACAACAAGGCAATGCTTGTCTTGTGTCGCGAGCAGAGAATGGAGCACAGAACGAAGCACATTGCTCTTCGTTACTTTCTTGTTCGGGAGCTGCAGCAGTGTGGTCATCTGCGCCTCGCTTACGTGGCCTCTCGGGCCAACACTGCTGATGTCTTCACCAAGGCCCTTGGGTTTGGAGATCATCAGCGTTTCTGCACTGCTGTTGGGCTTGTGCCCACTCTGCCTGACCTGCTAGTTGCTTGACTTGCACTTGTTGTACATTGATGTATATCTTTATACCTGCTTGTTTTCTCTTGCTAGGTTGTAATCAGTGTACTGCCTTGCTATTATAACTCTGCATGTGAGCTAGCCTTGTGGCCGCTTTCTTGCGCTCAGATTGTGTGGTGTCCTTGAGATCCACCCTGGGCTTTGCCTTGCTTGTTCTCTTGCTTGACTGGTCTTGTGACCGCTGTTCGGTTTAGCTATCCCCTCCTTCACCTATGGGGGTGTGTCAAAGCAATTATATGTTTATATGCTTCTAGGTTGTGTAGGGGTTACCCCTAGAGGGTACAACTAGATTTCCTCGACACTCTTGTACCCCCCCTCCTTACCTGATCGACATCATTTCTCTCTACTCTAGTGACCTTGACTATGCTAGATTCTAACAAGTAGTGTAAGGAAAATTCCTTTTCCTTACTTCACGCCCCTCCTTACCGCGTACAAGACCATTCCCGCCATCGGCACCCAACAATGAAACGTTATCCGCTCGCGACACTCGCCTCGACTACGACTCCTGCCACTGTTCACGATGCGACCCAACCTCACGGTTCGGTTGGTAACCTGCGCTCCGGACCTCCGCCTCGACAGTTCCCAACCTCGGGGCTAGGCCCGTAGTGTCAGAGGTCCACTGGTGATCCCCGATCGATCTTAGGGAAGGTTTACAGGCTCGTTGTCCTGGGGGTTTATGGGCGCACTGACCCACTACTTAACAAGCCGTTTTATCCCAATGGTCTAGTTGTTGGGATTCTGACATGGTATCAGAGCTAAGGTCTCGGTTTCGAATCCCAGTGTGTGCACTTCGGGCATCCCAGTGCGGGGGGGTGTCAGAGGTCCACTGGCAGGCCTCTGGATAGGTTTGGAAGCACTCTTAGTCGAAAGGGCAGGTTGCCAAAGCTGGTCTTTCAGTAAGGGTGGGGCAGCCATGTCAGTCTTGTGTATCAGTGTTGGCTGCATTGTTACTCGTGCTCGTCAGTGTACTGTGGACCTCGGTTAGTTGTACCATTTTTTTTTAACCAACGCTTAATGTTTAGGTTGACATGACGTGCAAAGAACAATAAAATATATGACTAGAACTAGAACAACACGACCTACATATGGGATGGTCTGGCCTGGTCCGGTTCCAGCAGAATACTCCTAGCAGGGAGCAGAGCAGCACAAGTCAATACCAAAACTCCTGGGCAGGACGGCGCTTCTTCCTAGCATTGAACACGGCTACCACATTCACCCAGTTCAGACCATCACTGGGCAGGAGAGCTGCAGTCATCAGATCGCCCAGTTTGGCGTCGCCCAGGCAGGTCCGCTTCCACGTCTTGATACGGTTCTGGCGACTGAAGCCACGCTCGCACTCCACCGTGCTGAGGGGGAGCACAGCTACGGCCTGCCACAGCTGCACAAGGTTCGGGTACGCTCCCATGTAGTCAGTTGACTGGAGCATGAGCGAGAGCGACTTGTGGAAGCTCATGTTCCCGTGGTTGGTATCCATGGTGTGGAGAAACAATGGTAGCTCCCTCTCGCACGCCTTGAAGCACACACCTGCCAGGATGGGAGAGCAGAGCAGTGAGAGTGGCGATCGGGGCGTATAGGAGGTGTTTAACAGCACACCAAGGTACACACACACACACAGCAGACAGCACATTGCAGGCACAACCAGGTGGCGTACCAAAGAGGCGGTGGTGAAACATGTGGTCTAGCATGCCCAACCACTCGCGGCACTTCTTCATCCGCTGCGCGTTGTCGTCGGGATAGCACGATGGCCGGAAAAGCTTGGAGCCGGCCAGGTTCTTGAGGTCTTCCAGGCGGAACTCCAGTCGTGCAACGCAGACCCTCGCAAACTCCTGGCACACCGCCTTGTAGGAGTAGTAGTCCCCGCCAGTCTTATGGCCTGGGATCTTGCGCTCGTGAAGCACGAACTCGTGCTCTGCAGCTTCGCCGTTCTGGTCCACGCCTTTGACAGTGACTTCGCGGTGCTCGGGGTTGCCGTGTTTCTTCAGGAACGCGCAGAGCAGGGGTGACTGTTCGTTGCCAAAACGATCCTCGCAGTCCACGTAACGCACATCGATCGTCCGGCAAGCGAGTGACACCTCCCCCGCGACCACAGTGATGTCAACCTGTGAGTGGGCGTGGGATGAATAGTTGCTGCCAGAGGTTGATGTACAATGGGTCAGAACGGCGCACAACAACCGGGAACATGGCAGTGAAACAAACGCCTATATGTACAACCAAAGCACTCCACATGTCACCTGCTGCTTCTGGAACTTGGCGTTGAGCTCGTTGAGCACGGCAAGAATGTCTGCAAGGAAGAAAAGCATGAAGTGGAATTTGAAAGAGGTGACCGTTTCGTATAGCGCGTGCTTGAAATCGTGCAGCAGGACGATTGTCGCCGGCAGAACCTTGGCGAACCGCTTGACTGCCTCTTCTCTAGAGAGCCATCGCACGTCGTGGATCCCCTGCAGCTCCAGGTTGGTTTCGCAGATGTACTCCTGAAGGTGCTCGAATCGCCGGTGCCAGTTGCTCGACCTAGAAAGCTGCTCTGCCACGTTGCGCACCGCCTGGTCTATGATGTTGAACTCCGTCACCTTCTCAGCGGCATCCTTCGCGGCCAACGCCTCCCTGCTCAAGGTAGAACGCAGGATGCCAGAGATTGAAGTGAGTGGGCAGTACATGATCAACACACACCTGCCATAAAGCCAGTTCGTGCCACAACACCATTGCTGGTGCCCGTCATTACTCTGGCGCCGTCGGTGCTGATTCCAACAATCTTGGACAAGTCAATGCCCACGGCGTCAAGGTGGGTCAGTAGCACGTCAACTAGACTTGCCGCGTCACACTTGTCAACTGTCAGCAGCGTGAGGAACTCGCAGACGCTCGCTCCCTCCTTCATGAAGTGGACGTAGACGATCATGTGCTTGCCGCGCGCCTTGTCAGTACTCTCATCGAGCTGAATGGAGATGTACGGGCTCGCCTCGATCTGCTTCAGTTGCTCTTGCCGCATGTACTTCGCTGCAGCATCTAGCAGCTCCCCGAAACCGTACCTGCATGATACAAGCACAGAGGTTAGCACGTGATCAATCAAGGCAGTTGTAACGGAACAAGTACAACGACACCAAGTACCCCGAAACTTACTCCGAAAAGTAGTTTCCCTTGGAATCCAAGGGAAGGTTCGGGACTCCGAGCTCATCCATGAACTTGATGGTGCCCACGTAGGAGGTGATTGGCGCCTCCGACTTGCAGATGTATACGGTAGTCTTGAGAGCGGTGATGATGTGAAGAGTGCTGCGATCCAACCCCTCGAACTGGCTCAGCAGCGTTTGACGAAGCTTCCGGCTCTCCTTCGACTTCATCTCGGCGTGTGCGTCCTGGTGTGCGGTGGAGCGCTGGTGCGTCCGGATGCTCCCCTTCTGCATGTCACGCCCTCCACTGCCTCCCTTGCCGTAAGCCGTTTTCGTGCCTTCAGCTCCATGTTCCAAGCACGTGCTGCATCTCAAAATGGGGAAGCCAACGTCATCACGAGTTAAAATTAGCCACGGAAACAAAGACTCCCATGAAGTCTTAAATCGCTTATGCGCTTTAGCGAAAGCGATCTCGGGGTAACGGGCCATCTCTTCGACAGTCGGCAGGCCGTCTTCTTCCTCCTCGTCATCACTTCCCTCGTCCTCCACTCGTCGAATTGGACGTGCCGCCCGCTTCACAGAGGGCTTCGGTTGTCGCCACCACTGCTTAGCACTGTCACCGCTTGACTCTTTGCGCTTCTTGTTCGCAGAGTCGCCAGCCGCATCGCCTATCTCCGTTTCAGGAGCCGTCGCTTCTGGAGGTGAGGGTTCCGCCGTGGTAGTGCAAACTTCAGGTGAGCGCAGGTCACGCCCTGATTCATCCGCGCGGGTTTCGTCCTCGGTTGAAGCAACTACGGGCTCCGGATCTGACAGCTTCTTAGCGGGGGTTCGTAGAAAGCTGAGGCCCGTTCGCAGGGGTGATTTTTGGAGTTCACGGCGTGCCTCGTCGTCACCATCGGTGGTTTCGTCAGCAGCCATGGCGAGGGCCAGAGGGGTGGTTGCAGGAGCTGGGCCTACGCTAGCTATTGGGAGAGCGTGGTGGTGGGGTGGTGTGCAAACCCTAGACCAGACGAGATAGCGAGGAGGCAGAATTGAGAAATGAGACGAGGAGGACTGGGTTGGGTGCGTGGGAGAGACTGGTCGGTGGGTGGGGGCCTGCTGGGGAGGGAAGAAGAAGCTTCCATGCTGGACACACCTCCTGCACGAAGCAGGTGTGTGTGACGCTGCGCGGCATTGCCAGCTGGGAAGATTGCAGGTGAGCCAGGTACAGTTGACGAGCCTGTGGCAGTGGCGACGCGAGCCGTCAAGGCGACGCGCACATCTGCTGGCTCAGGCAAAACGCCGCTAATCACGGCAGAATCTCGTCAGTACCCCCCCCCCCCCCCCCCCCCCCCACCCCGCCGCGTGAAATCGCATCAGGGTGGTACGCGACACTAGTCTTTGTCATCAGGGCGAGTACACCAGGCCTGTCTTAAAAATCAGTGTTAACAAAATGAACACTTTTTCGGCTAAGGGTGCCTCATAAAATAAGTTTTAAAAACAAGGGTGATCACCTAAACCCACCCTTATAGTAAGGGCCATAAGGGTGTTTTACCCTGATATCGAGAGGCCTGTCCACTGGTGATCCCCGATAGATCCTAGGGAAGGGTTACAGACTCATTGTCTTGGGAGGTTATGGGCTCACTGACTCGCTACTTAATAAGTCTTTTTATCCCAATGGTCTAGTGGTTGGGATTCTGACACGTAGCGCACCCCAGTTTCTCGCATTACCATTATCACGCTAACTTCGCTATATATTTTTCGCTCATGCCTTCGCTCATTGTATTGTTTTGCTTTGATAGTGTAATTCTCGCCCGATCGCTCAATTGCACTCGTAACAAAAAATAACAAAGCATGAACTTAAGAACAAAATGCATGTAAGCACCATCAAAAACTACACCTTCTCTTGGTTCTCAGAATTACTACACCTCACCCTCATACAGTGGAATGTTAGAAAAAAAACATACTTGGTATCCTAGGGAACACAGCACAGCATGCATCCACAAAGCCGCACGTACACATTACACACTTCTACAGCTCATGTGCGTCAACAGAGGAGTTGATGAGATGGTGTAGAAGAATGCCAGCAGCTACACTCACATTCAGACTATCCACCACCTTCAGCCTTCCGCTCTTACTTCCATGTTTCACGCCACTCCCAGCCCCCAGCCCACGCACATCCCCCACAGTTCCACCTGCCCCATCCTCTCCCTCACCTGATCCATCCTTCACAGCACCAGCAACAACCTCTCCCTCCTTCCCTTCCCTCTCCCCCTCACCCTCCTCCCCACTTCCCCACCCCTCCTCCGCCGCCTCACCCGCACCCCCTCCCTTCCCCATCCCTCCACCAACATCCCCACTATTAACCGCTCCGCTAATCCGCACAAGGTGCGCGCAGGCGCGCTTCACATTGGTCCTCAGCCCTGCTCCCTCGCTCCCCAGGACCAGCAGCGTGGGGGAGCCTCCAGAGGAGAGGCGGGAGATGGGGATGGCAGAGGGGTCCGCTGCTGCGCCCACCACCAGCCAGCCGTTGGCAGCGGAGCGGGCGAGGAAACGCATCATGTTTGTGCACTCGTGCACCTGCGGATATGGGGTACATGGGGTACATGGGGTACATGGGGTACATGGGGTACATGGGGTACATGGGGTACATGGGGTACATGGGGTACATGGGGTACATGGGGTACATGGGGTACATGGGGTACATGGGGTACATGGGGTACATGGGGTACATGGGGTACATGGGGTACATGGGGTACATGGGGTCTATGGGGTACATGGGGTACATGGGGTACATGGGGTACATGGGGTACATGGGGTACATGGGGTACATGGGGTACATGGGGTACATGGGGTACATGGGGTACATGGGGTACATGGGGTACATGGGGTACATGGGGTACATGGGGTACATGGGGTACATGGGGTACATGGGGTACATGGGGTACATGGGGTACATGGGGTACATGGGGTACATGGGGTACATGGGGTACATGGGGTACATGGGGTACATGGGGTACATGGGGTACATGGGGTACATGGGGTACATGGGGTACATGGGGTACATGGGGTACATGGGGTACATGGGGTACATGGGGTACATGGGGTACATGGGGTACATGGGGTACATGGGGTACATGGGGTACATGGGGTACATGGGGTACATGGGGTACATGGGGTACATGGGGTACATGGGGTACATGGGGTACATGGGGTACATGGGGTACATGGGGTACATGGGGTACATGGGGTACATTGGGTACATGGGGTACATGGGGTACATGGGGTACATGGGGTACATGGGGTACATGGGGTACATGGGGTACATGGGGTACATGGGGTACATGGGGTACATGGGTACATGGGGTACATGGGGTACATGGGTACATGGGGTACATGGGGTACATGGGGTACATGGGGTACATGGGGTACATGGGGTACATGGGGTACATGGGGTACATGGGGTACATGGGGTACATGGGGTACATGGGGTACATGGGGTACATGGGGTACATGGGGTACATGGGGTACATGGGTACATGGGGTACATGGGGTACCATGGGGTACATGGGGGTACATGGGGTACATGGGGTACATGGGGTACATGGGGTACATGGGGTACATGGGGTACATGGGGTACATGGGGGTACATGGGGTACATGGGGTACATGGGGTACATGGGGTACATGGGGTACATGGGGTACATGGGGTACATGGGGTACATGGGGTACATGGGGTACATGGGGTACATGGGGTACATGGGGTACATGGGGTACATGGGGTACATGGGGTACATGGGGTACATGGGGTACATGGGGTACATGGGGTACATGGGGTACATGGGGTACATGGGGTACATGGGGTACATGGGGTACATGGGGTACATGGGGTACATGGGGTACATGGGGTACATGGGGTACATGGGGTACATGGGGTACATGGGGTACATGGGGTACATGGGGTACATGGGGTACATGGGGTACATGGGGTACATGGGGTACATGGGGTACATGGGGTACATGGGGTACATGGGGTACATGGGGTACATGGGGTACATGGGGTACATGGGGTACATGGGGTACATGGGGTACATGGGGTACATGGGGTACATGGGGTACATGGGGTACATGGGGTACATGGGGTACATGGGGTACATGGGGTACATGGGGTACATGGGGTACATGGGGTACATGGGGTACATGGGGTACATGGGGTACATGGGGTACATGGGGTACATGGGGTACATGGGGTACATGGGGTACATGGGGTACATGGGGTACATGGGGTACATGGGGTACATGGGGTACATGGGGTACATGGGGTACATGGGGTACATGGGGTACATGGGGTACATGGGGTACATGGGGTACATGGGGGGGTACATGGGGTACATGGGGTACATGGGGTACATGGGGTACATGGGGTACATGGGGTACATGGGGTACATGGGGTACATGGGGTACATGGGGTACATGGGGTACATGGGGTACATGGGGTACATGGGGTACATGGGGTACATGGGGTACATGGGGTACATGGGGTACATGGGGTACATGGGGTACATGGGGTACATGGGGTACATGGGGTACATGGGGTACATGGGGTACATGGGGTACATGGGGTACATGGGGTACATGGGGTACATGGGGTACATGGGGTACATGGGGTACATGGGGTACATGGGGTACATGGGGTACATGGGTACATGGGGTACATGGGGTACATGGGGTACATGGGGTACATGGGGTACATGGGGTTACATGGGGTACATGGTATGGTACATGGGGTACATGGGGTACATGGGGTAACAATGGGGTACATGGGGTACATGGGGTACATGGGGTACATGGGTACATGGGTACTGGGGTACATGGGGTACATGGGGGTACATGGGGTCATGGGGTACATGGGTGTACATGCGGGTACATGGGTACATGGGGTACATGGGGTACATGGGGTAACATGGGGTCATGGGTACATGGGTACATGGGGTAACATGGGGTACATGGGGTACATGGGGTACATGGGGTACAGGGGGTACATGGGGTACATGGGGTACATGGGGTCACATGGGGTACATGGGGTAACATGGGGTACATGGGGTACAGTGGGGTACATGGGGTACATGGGGTACATGGGGTACATGGGGTACATGGGGTACATGGGTACAGGGTACATGGGTACTGTACATGGGGTACATGGGGGTACATGGGGTACATGGGGTACATGGGGTACATGGGGTACATGGGGTACATGGGGTACATGGGGTACATGGGGTACATGGGGTACATGGGGTACATGGGGTACATGGGGTACATGGGGTACATGGGGTACATGGGGTACATGGGGGTACATGGGGTACATGGGTACATGGGGTACATGGGGTACATGGGGTACATGGGTACATGGGGTACATGGGGTACATGGGTACATGGGGTACATGGGGTACATGGGGTACATGGGGTACATGGGGGTACATGGGGTACATGGGGTACATGGGGTACATGGGGTACATGGGGTACATGGGGTACATGGGGTACATGGGGTACATGGGTACATGGGGTACATGGGGTACATGGGGTACATGGGGTACATGGGGTACATGGGGTACATGGGGTACATGGGGTACATGGGGTTACATGGGGTACTGGGGTACATGGGGTACATGGGTACATGGGGTACATGGGGGTACATGGGGTACATGGGGTACATGGGTACATGGGGTACATGGGGTACATGGGGGGTACATGGGGTACATGGGGTACATGGGGTACATGGGGTACATGGGGTAATGTACATGGGTACATGGGGTACATGGGGTACATGGGGTACATGGGTACATGGGGTACATGGGGTACATGGGGTACATGGGGTACATGGGGTACATGGGGTACATGGGGTACATGGGGTACATGGGGTACATGGGGTACATGGGGTACATGGGGGTACATGGGGTACATGGGGTACATGGGGTACATGGGGTACATGGGGTACATGGGGTACATGGGGTACATGGGGTACATGGGGTACATGGGGTACATGGGGTACATGGGGTACATGGGGTACATGGGGTACATGGGGTACATGGGGTACATGGGGTACATGGGGTACATGGGGTACATGGGGTACATGGGTACATGGGGTACATGGGGTACATGGGGTACATGGGGTAACATGGGGTACATGGGGTACATGGGGTACATGGGGTACATGGGGTACATGGGGTACATGGGTACATGGGGTACATGGGGTACATGGGGTACATGGGGTACATGGGGTACATGGGGTACATGGGTACATGGGGTACATGGGGTACATGGGGTACATGGGGTACATGGGGTACATGGGGGTACATGGGGTACATGGGGTACATGGGGTACATGGGGTACATGGGGTACATGGGGTACATGGGTACATGGGGTACATGGGGTACATGGGTACATGGGGTACATGGGGTACATGGGGTACATGGGGTACATGGGGTACATGGGGTACATGGGGTACATGGGGTACATGGGGTACATGGGGTACATGGGGTACATGGGGTACATGGGGTACATGGGGTACATGGGGTACATGGGGTACATGGGGTACATGGGGTACATGGGTACATGGGGTACATGGGGTACAGGGGACATGGGGTAATGGGGTTACATGGGGTACATGGGGTACATGGGGTACATGGGGTACATGGGGTACATGGGGGTACATGGGGTACATGGGGTACATGGGGTACATGGGGTACATGGGGGTACATGGGGTACATGGGGTACATGGGGTACATGGGGTACATGGGGTACCATGGGGGTACATGGGGTACATGGGGTACATGGGGTACATGGGGTACATGGGGTACATGGGGTACATGGGGTACATGGGGTACATGGGTACATGGGGTACATGGGGTACATGGGGTACATGGGGTACATGGGGTACATGGGGTACATGGGGTTGTACATGGGGTACATGGGGTACATGGGGTACATGGGGTACATGGGGTACATGGGGTACATGGGGTACATGGGGTACATGGGGTACATGGGGTACATGGGGTACATGGGGTTACATGGGGTACATGGGGTACATGGGGTACATGGGGTACATGGGGTACATGGGGTACATGGGGTACATGGGGTACATGGGGTACATGGGGTACATGGGGTACATGGGGTACATGGGGTACATGGGGTACATGGGGTACATGGGGTACATGGGGTACATGGGGTACATGGGGTACATGGGTACATGGGGTACATGGGGTACATGGGGTACATGGGGTACATGGGGTACAATGGGGTACATGGGGTACATGGGGTACATGGGGTACATGGGGTACATGGGTACATGGGGTACAATGGGGTACATGGGGTACATGGGGTACATGGGGTACATGGGGTACATGGGGTACATGGGGTACATGGGGTACATGGGGTACATGGGGTACATGGGGTACATGGGGTACATGGGGTACATGGGGTACATGGGGTACATGGGGTACATGGGGTACATGGGGTACATGGGGTACATGGGGTACATGGGGTACATGGGGTACATGGGGTACATGGGGTACATGGGGTACATGGGTACATGGGGTACATGGGGTACATGGGGTACATGGGGTACATGGGGTACATGGGGTACATGGGGTACATGGGGTACATGGGTACATGGGGTACATGGGGTACATGGGGTACATGGGGTACATGGGGTACATGGGGTACATGGGGTACATGGGGTACATGGGGTACATGGGGTACATGGGGTACATGGGGTACATGGGGTACATGGGGTACATGGGGTACATGGGGTACATGGGGTACATGGGGTACATGGGGTACATGGGGTACATGGGGTACATGGGGTACATGGGGTACATGGGGTACATGGGGTACATGGGGTACATGGGGTACATGGGGTACATGGGGTACATGGGGTACATGGGGTACATGGGGTACATGGGGTACATGGGGTACATGGGGTACATGGGGTACATGGGGTACATGGGGTACATGGGGTACATGGGGTACATGGGGTACATGGGGTACATGGGGTACATGGGGTACATGGGGTACATGGGGTACATGGGGTACATGGGGTACATGGGGTACATGGGGTACATGGGGTACATGGGGTACATGGGGTACATGGGGTACATGGGGTACATGGGGTACATGGGGTACATGGGGTACATGGGGTACATGGGGTACATGGGGTACATGGGGTACATGGGGTACATGGGGTACATGGGGTACATGGGGTACATGGGGTACATGGGGTACATGGGGTACATGGGGTACATGGGGTACATGGGGTACATGGGGTACATGGGGTACATGGGGTACATGGGGTACATGGGGTACATGGGGTACATGGGGTACATGGGGTACATGGGGTACATGGGGTACATGGGGTACATGGGGTACATGGGGTACATGGGGTACATGGGGTACATGGGGTACATGGGGGGTACGATGGGGTACATGGGGTACATGGGGTACATGGGTTACATGGGGTACATGGGGTACATTGGGTACATGGGGTACATGGGGTACATGGGGTACATGGGGTACATGGGGTACATGGGGTACATGGGGTACATGGGGTACATGGGGTACATGGGGGGTACATGGGGTACATGGGGTACATGGGGTACATGGGGTACATGGGGTACATGGGGTACATGGGGTACATGGGTACATGGTACATGGGGTACATGGGGTAACATGGGTACATGGGGTACATGGGGTACATGGGGTACATGGGGTACATGGGGTACATGGGGTACATGGGGTACATGGGGTACATGGGGTACATGGGGTACATGGGGTACATGGGGTACATGGGGTACAGGGGGTACATGGGGTACATGGGGTACATGGGGTACATGGGGTACATGGGTACATGGGGTACATGGGGTACATGGGGTACATGGGGTACATGGGGTAACATGGGGTACATGGGGTACATGGGGTACATGGGGTACATGGGTACATGGGGTACATGGGGTACATGGGGTACATGGGGTACATGGGGTACATGGGGTACATGGGGTACATGGGGTACATGGGGTACATGGGGTACATGGGGTACATGGGGTACATGGGGTACATGGGGTACATGGGGTACATGGGGTACATGGGGTACATGGGGTACATGGGGTACATGGGGTACATGGGGTACATGGGGTACATGGGGTACATGGGGTACATGGGGTACATGGGGTACATGGGGTACATGGGGTACATGGGGTACATGGGGTACATGGGGTACATGGGGTACATGGGGTACATGGGGTACATGGGGTACATGGGGTACATGGGGTACATGGGGTACATGGGGTACATGGGGTACATGGGGTACATGGGGTACATGGGGTACATGGGGTACATGGGGTACATGGGGTACATGGGGTACATGGGGTACATGGGGTACATGGGGTACATGGGGTACATGGGGTACATGGGGTACATGGGGTACATGGGGTACATGGGGTACATGGGGTACATGGGGTACATGGGGTACATGGGGTACATGGGGTACATGGGGTACATGGGGTACATGGGGTACATGGGGTACATGGGGTACATGGGGTACATGGGGTACATGGGGTACATGGGGTACATGGGGTACATGGGGTACATGGGGTACATGGGGTACATGGGGTACATGGGGTACATGGGGTACATGGGGTACATGGGGTACATGGGGTACATGGGGTACATGGGGTACATGGGGTACATGGGGTACATGGGGTACATGGGGTACATGGGGTACATGGGGTACATGGGGTACATGGGGTACATGGGGGAAACACCAGGGGGACATGGTGGGGACATGGGGGACACGTGCTTTGGAGAGCACAACACACGTTCTCTTTCGCTCTGCTCTTTCCCTCTGCTCTTTCGCTCTGCTCTTTCGCTCTGCTCTTTCGCTCTGCTCTTTCCCTCTGCTCTTTCCCTCTGCTCTTTCGCTCTGCTCTTTCCCTCTGCTCTTTCGCTCTGCTCTTTCGCTCTGCTCTTTCGCTCTGCTCTTTCGCTCTGCTCTTTCGCTCTGCTCTTTCGCTCTGCTCTTTCCCTCTGCTCTTTCCCTCTGCTCTTTCGCTCTGCTCTTTCGCTCTGCTCTTTCCCTCTGCTCTTTCGCTCTGCTCTTTCGCTCTGCTCTTTCGCTCTGCTCTTTTCCTCTGCTCTTTCCCTCTGCTCTTTCGCTCTGCTCTTTCGCTCTGCTCTTTCGCTCTGCTCTTTCCCTCTGCTCTTTCGCTCTGCTATTTCACGCTGCTCTTTCACTCTGCTCGTTCACTCTGCTCTTTCACTCTGCTCTGACCAGTAAAATGATCTCGAGCGCATGATGTACCTGCATGATCTCGAGCGCGCCCGCACTGGCCTTGGACACGACAGCAGAGAGCGGGGCGGAGTTCTTAGCGCACACCACCACGCCGGCCGCCCCGAGGAAGTGTGCCGACCGCAGAATCGCCCCCAGATTTTGAGGATCCGTCACCTCGTCCAGCGCCACCCACACCGGCGGCGCCACTGCCGCCCCCGCCGCCCCTGCCGCCGCCTCTGCCGCCGCCCCTGCTTCTCCTGCGCCCGCACCACCCACAGCAGCAGCGCATGCCGCCGCACCAACTGACCACACCGGAAGCGCCTCTATGGGCTCTAGCTGCAACCCCGACGCATCCAACACCAGACCCTGGTGCGGCCGGTTCCCCGACAGCAGGTTCAACTCATGCTTGCTCACCGACAACCGCTCTACACCGCTCTGTTCCGCCACGCGCAGCACGCGCTCGACTGCGGCCTTGTCCTTGCGCTTGCCCCCGCCTTTCAGCCCGTCCTGCAGCCCTTCCTGCGTGTAGAGCGTGTGGATGCGGCGGCGGGAGGAAAGGAGCGCGGCGAGCACGGGCGAGACGCCGTAGATGGGCTCTCCGCGGAGAGCGGAAGGAGTGAGAGACGGGGTCCCCCAGCTGCTGTTGCTGTTATCCCAATCGGAATACCTGCCGTACTCGCCCTCATCCCCGTCATCGCCCTCATTGGCACCATATCCGTCATTGTTATCATTGTCACTCTCCTCCTCAGCATCACTGAACCGCCCGCTGGGACCGCTGGCACCTCTGGGACTGGTGGCACCTCTGGTACCTCTGGCACCATCGGCACCTCTGGAACCACTGAGAGGCTCCTGGGCTTGAGAACTTCTGCCATCCATCCCTCTCTCACCTCCTACCGCTCCCCGTGCACCTATACCGCCCCCCCTCCCTCCCCCACTCACTCCCCCCCTCCCCCCCCCACTCACTCCCCATCCCCCTTCCCCGCCGCCTCGTGACCTCATTTCCCCCCCATCGCCCCCTCTCCCCCACTGTCCGCCGCCCCCCCTCCCCCTCCCTGCGCCCTGCGCGTTCCGCAAGCCGAATTCTCCCCGGTCCCCCCATCCCCCCCTGTCCATTCCGCCATCTGCGCGCCCCTGCGCCCCTCCCCTCATCACCGGCCGCGGGGCTCCCCCGACTGCCCTTCCCCGCCAGTCATCTACCCCGAACGCATCCACCCTGCCTTCCGCACCCCCCCATCTTCCCCTTTCTCCAGCGCCAGGCGCGCTGCTGCGCGGAAGCATGCCCCTTCCGCGCCCGGCTCCCCCTTCCGCCCTTCCCTCGGCCTCTCCCCCTACCTCTCCGCCTGCCGCTCCCCCTTGCCCCTCTCCCCACTCCATAGCTGCATAGTCCCGCGACCAACCCTTTCCTTCCCCTCCCCTCCCTGCCCCCCTCTCGCCTCCGCTTTCTCCGCCCCTTCCCCGCCCCGCGTCTCCCCCCACCCTCCCCCGCCCCGCCCCCTGATCTACGCCTTTCCGCGCAACGCCAGGGGGGCTGTCCACGTCCACGTTGGACCAGAACGCCATGACGTCAGCGTCCTCGTCACTACGGGCACTATCCACGTCATCCCAAGACCGTCTCCCGGACTCACTGCGCGGGGACCTTCCCCCTGTTGCTTCCCCCGCCTCCCTTCCCCCCCTTCCTCCGCCATACTCCTTTCTTCCGCCATATTCCCTTCTCCCCCCTGATTCCCCTCCGCCCTCATACTGCCTCGCCTGTTTATTATCCCCCCCGAACTCCCGCTCTCCCCCATACTCCTTCCGCCCACCCCACTCCCTGTTCCGCTCCCGCCCCTCGCTCCCCCAGCCGCCGCCGCTTCCCCGGCCACCGCCGCCGCCGCCCCACGCACCCCCACCGCCCCTCTCGCTCCTCTCTCCCCGCAACCCCCTCTCCCCCCACTCCTCTCTTCCCCTTTCGCCACCCTCCCTCCGCCCGCCCTCCCGCCAATCACCTCTCCGCCCCTCCTCCTCTCTATCATCGTCCTTCCCCCCAACACCGCGAGCGCCGTGCAAATCGTTCGAATCAGGCTTCCAGCTAAATTCTCCAGCCTTCTTCTTATAACGACTTCCTCCCCCTCCCCCTCCCCCTCCTCCCCTTCCCCCTCCCCACTCCGCAACTGCTCGCCCACTCCCCACCTTCCCCCTCCGCGAATCTCCCTCCCCGCCCCCCCGCTGCAGCGCTTTCAACTGCGAGAGCCCATCCTCGAGCCGCCCCCAATTCTTATAAACCCTCATTATCGCCGAGTCCACCGGTTTCGCGCGGTTCCCGGAGATCTCCGGGCGGCCTAAGATCCCCCCCCGCCACCCCTCCGGATCCTCCCATTGGCGCTTGTCGTAATCCCCCCACCTCCGCGCAAGCGGAACTCCCGTCGTCCCGAACCCTTCCCCGTAGTACTTCCCCGTTTTTTTCTCGTCCGCTTTCCCGGTCTTCTTCTTTTTCTTCTTCTTCTTCTCTCTAATTCCCAGCGCCTTATTGGCCTCTCCGCCGGTCTTATCGACTATCCGCAGCCGCTCTTTCCGCCTCGGCGCAACGGAGGCCCCCGCGGAGCTGCCGAATCCACGCACCCAGCCCGCGCGCGCAGCATCGGCGGGGAAAGAGAGAGCCGCGGCGGCGGGGAAGCTGGCCCAGCTGGGGGAAGCGGGGAGCGCGGATGGCGCAACAAAAGTCGGGAACGCGGAGAGAACAAACGGGAAGGACGCGTGCGTGCCAGATCGCCAGGACGGGGCGGAAGCGGAAACGACGGCGGCGGTCAAGAAAGAGGCGGAGGAGGAGGAGGTGGTGAGAGATAACGAAGCGCGATAATGACATGCGGCGGATCCGTCGTGAGGCGGGTGAGGAGGCGAGAAGGAGAAACGGCGACTAGAAACGCGAGAAGGACGAGAGCCGAGGAGACCGAGGCAGTATAGATTGCCGCTACCGCTAGGAGAGCGCACGACGCTGGACCGCGCGACGCTAGCGGTGTGCAACAGCCGTGATGATACACACGATCTCCAAACCCCGAACCCTGCCATGGAGCGGCCTCCGCGGGATCCCCACGATGCTTGCGCGACGAGGGGGCCTTGCGCGTAAATGGATCCTCCGCGAATGGTGCGCACTAGCGCAGGCGCGCTGGCCTTGACGCACGGATCCGCGCTACGCTTTACGCACTTAGCATAGGCCGCGGACGCCATTATCCGCGCGCCGTGGAACCGCGGAGCAGTGGCGGCATGTGCGCAGAGGAGAGACGCGGAAGGGGCGAAGCATGTTGCGGCATGCGCAGGCATTGCTGCGAGATGACAGGCAGAAGAAGGTGCCGCAAAGCACCATAAGCGGCGGCTGATTTTCTGCCTGAGTGACGAGGTTTGAGAGGAAGTGCCAGTGGTTTTGGGCTGCACCATCCGCGTTGTCAGAAGTCCCGGTTCCAAACAGCGTGTTTGATTGAGGAAGTTTTCAAACGATTGCTAAAACATACATGGCGATGGACAAACCGAGCTGGCAATATATGTTATATCAAACGCAGATGACCATGAAGATTCGAGTTAGCTTCTTTTCATTATAAGCTAATTAACTCCGTATCAAAATACAAGCATTAGGGACACATGGCCACCACATTCAACACCAGTAGTCACTCCACAGACTAGCCAACGCCCATCACACAAGCACTCAAACGTGTATCACACAAGCACAAGATCCTTCCTTAACGGGAGTTGCTAGAAGCCATATATCTGCAACCCCTTTTAGACGCCCACAAAAGAAACAAGCTAGCCTGGAAGATTGGAATGTGAATTCCAGGAAGGAACCTAAGGCACAAGATAAGGTGGCTTAAGAAGGAGCAGTGTGTTACCAACTGACCAGCAGTCAGCCAGTTAAATGAGCACTACAGTTGAAAAAGCAGCAGCGAGAAGCCCGGAATCTGACGGAGGGCGGTTGCGAGTAATCGCTGATAAGGACGCGAGAAGACTGGGATGATAGGATGACAAGGCGAGCGTGAATCCTTGAGGAAGAAACACGAGGATGTTAAGGTGAGTGTGTAGTGTGTTGCGATAGGATGGGTGATGGGTACAACACCGGGCGGGCGGGCAGGAAGAGTACGAGCAGAACCACCAGATACACGGCTCTTATTGCTCACTTTTCAAGAACCATGCCTCAACACATGCTCCTGGCAGCCGTTGCTCAGCGGAACATCGACCAAAGAGGGAGCCCAAAAGACGAAGCCCGAATGAGAGAAGGGAGCACCCCGGTAGCAGCAGCAAAAGGTCAGAAGAGTTGCGCGCAGAACCAAAGCACCGAATTAGACTCAAGAAGAGGCTTGCGAGTTGTCAGCTTTCTCGCTGTATGAGTAGTAGTCCCTGCGACAATCTGCCCGCGGCCACAAAAACTCCTGTGAGCCCACCTCACTGAGGGGGATGCGCAGGCCGGAAGGCAGGCTGTTCTCATACAGCAGCGTGCTGCCGTCTGTTATCAGGCTGTGCAGTCGCACCTTGCAGAACCCACTCCTGGAAACCACATTCAGGAAGGAGGGATCGGAAAAAATGAGGGGTAGCGGAATGTAAGCATAGCAATTTATCACGTGCAACAGACAGTTTTAGCTACAAATGAAGAAGGGGACTCTTAGACACAGTTTTACCCATAGAGGCCCAGACAAGCAGCCAAATGGGCTGCGGAACTGCTGATAGGCTTTCGACCAGACTCACCGTTCACACGAGACAATGCGAGCCTTGGCCACGTCCTCGTTGTTGTAACGCATGATGATGCTCTGCCCCTTGTGTAGCCCATCCGCTGCCTTCTTACTGCGACTATTCGGAGAAATCTCCGTCAGCCCGTTGGCCCCAAGATGCGCCATACCACCTGATCCCCCAGCTCCTCCCGCGCCCCCCGCTCCACCCCCAGCAGCGTTTTTCCGTTTCCTCCCTCCGACCTTGACTTCTGCTGGGGGCGGCGGTGCTGCTTCTGGGTGAAACAGCTGCCGCATATCGTCAGGATCGCAGTGCATGCCGCCCCCGCCCATCCCGCCTGGGCCCATGCCTATCCCCTTCCCCGCGAGCGAGCCTGGTACCGCGCCCATAGCACCAAACGCGTCGTCGCGGCCGCCGTCCACCACGTATGAGAGGTTCACTCCCCCCGGACCTGCTGCAGGGTCGAGGCACACCGGCGGAGCCACTGCAACCAGGGCAGCAGATGCAAGGTTGGGAGCTGCAAAAACGTCAATACGGAATACAAAAAACGCAAGCGTAACCATAAACGGGATGCAAAAGGGGGACACCGTGGGAGTCCTAGCTGGCCAAAGAGCATTGTAAGCTCTTACAAATGACGACCAAAAAGACAGAAAAACAAGCAAAGACGCACAGACAAAGAAAGGAAAACATGGCGGGAAGCCTACCCTTGGTCTACCCGCATCGCCTTGCACGGGCATACATCAGATTTTACCAGTCCAATGCTCGACCGTGATAATGCAGCCAAACCTTTCGTGCAGCGAGCCTTGAAACAATCAAGGAACCAGTAAACAAGTCCTGCAAAACGTGCGTAGCAGGATCTGACGGCCTACTGTACAGGCTGACGGCAAACGGTTAGCTGCAACGGCAAGCCGTAAGGCAGGTCGAAGAGCCAAGTCTCGAGCACCTGTGAGCCTATCCGGTGGCGTTGGCACCATCTGCAGAGTTAGCGTTCCATTGGCGGATGGCATCATCCCATGAGCTCCGTGCACTTGCAACGAGCCCTGACTGTGGGGCGACGTTGCTGCTGCCGGAGCAGCAACAGCGACCAGCGCCGAGGCGGAATGGAGCAGCGAGGACCACGAACGGTGCATTGACGCTGCAGCGGCAGTACCAGAGGAAAAAAAGAAAACCCACCCACCCAGCGACCCTTGGCTTCATAAACACGCGAGACCCTAGATCAGCCATGATACACCATCTTCCAATCAACTAACCAGCAACAAGTACCAAAACTTCACTCCCACCTGTCCGTGAGCTCTCATCCCTTCTCACTCCAGCCGTGGGACTGAAAACAACCATAAAAGTTACCCCTCAGATCCAACGCTACACATGGGGGGACGAACGGCATAAACTTACTTGGCTCCGGCGCATCGACGAGTAGTGGAGCAGCAGCGCGATTCCCCTCCCGCAGGTGATCCAACGGGAAATCCTCGGGTACGCAACCATGATCCGCAGCAGAGTGCCTTATTGAAAACTCAAACACTTCCACGTGGCCCAGCATCTTCGGAAACAGCAGCTTCAGGCGTTTCTTCAGGTGGTCGATGTGCAGCTCGTCCTCTTCCAGCTCCACCTCTGTCGGCCGTCCGTGCTTGAAGCGAATCCACAGCGTTCGGCGCAACGGGTTTCCGGCCAGATCCGTCGGCGCGCTGCAGGCGTGAAGCGCGGACCCCGCCGCGGGATCGCCTGGACCCTTGCGCTTCTGCAGCGCTTGCTGCGCCTGCTGCGCCTGTTGTTGCGGATCCGCAGTTTGCATCGCTCCGCCTTGCTGCGGGGACCCCGGCCTCAACTGGCGCGGCTGGTTCGGGTCCTGCTGCCGCTGCTCTTGCTGATCCTGATGCCTCTCCTGCTCTCCCTGCTGGTCCTGATCTTGATCCGGCTGCTGATCGCCTCGTTGGGGGGGGAATCCGGACGCGGTTGCAGCAGCTACAGCTGCAGCAGCGGCTGCCGCTGCTGCTTGAGCAGATTGCGCCATGCTAACATGGTGGAACTGCTGATGGTGCAGAACGGGCATCGGGTGGCCATGTTGGTCGATTTGTCCCAAACCCAGCGACGCCTGTAGCTGCTGCTGCGACGTCGGCGAACTATTTTGGCCCTGCTGCTGGGATTGTTGGAAGTGGCGAAGGCTCGAAGCAGTTACGTAGTCTCCTTTAGCCAAGGCTTGGTGCTGCATCAGATGATGTTCTCCATGGTGGTGATGGTCAGGAAAGAGCTCTGGTACAAATGAATAAAGTATCATGGTTGAAAACGCAAGCGAGATAAGACGAGCAGCTAACAGGAAAGCATAGAGGGGACAGCACATGATACACAACAGACGAAGGCATTGACGACGATATCACAATAATACAGCATAAAAACGATGCGCAAACCCAAGGAAAAAACAAATGGGCGAGTTAAGAGTTCACAAGAAGCATCCCCGAGCAAGAACCCAAATGGACCTGGAACACAGGCTGGGATGGAGAGGCCATTGATCCACGGTGGTAATAGTAACTTGCAGTACCTCCAGGCATTGCACCGTGCTGCTGCTGCTGCTGCTGGAGGCTCAAATCCATAATCCGGGCCTTACAGCCTCTTTTCTTATGTACTCCAGCACTTGAACTTTCGAAAGGGTTATTTACGCTACAGAAGCTAAGAATGCGTGTCGCCGACGCCTAGTCCCGCTGGTTCGATTACTGGTGACCGCGCGAGCAGGAGCTGGGATTCCTACGATGGGAAAGGAGGAGAAAGAAAACCTGTCACACAGATAGATAAACAAGGGAAGAAAACAAAAAAGGTTAAGATTACTCTAAGTGGTAGCCTTTCAATCATGCTGCCGCATGCTGCCTCCGAAACGACGAAAGAAGAATATAAAAGGCCTACGATGCACGCAGTACACGGAAGGGATATGAATCACAATAACAGAGCCAGGAACGACGCAGCGTAACAGAGCACGCTGGAGTAGACGAAGCGAATCGAAGATCTAAGACACACGTTCACGAAGCAGGCATACGTAAAACAGCACGAGTACACGTTAATCAACCCGAAGGGAAATTGATAAAACGAAACCACACACGGATCCCACGATGTTAAGCGACAAATATATAAAGGGACGTCGGAGGGAGACAATGCAGAGAAAAAAGCAAGCGTTAGTTAAAATAAAAACACGGATGCGAGCAAACAGCCAGAACAAGGTCCTTCCCACAGTTAGGAGGATCCGTGTTTAGCGCTCGAGCAACCTATTTAGCATTCACAATAGCCGGCATAGTCTAGTAGCTTCTACATCCACCGAGCTGAAACTCACTATTCAGCAGCTAAAAAATCACTGGTCCGTTGCAGTAGGATTCGGGCCCGCTTCGGCTTCGCGCCTCATGCCGACAGAGAAGCCATGTGCAGACTGCTGGGCATGTCCTAGTGTCCGCGCGCCAGTGTTCCAGGGGAGGAGGGGACACGGAGCTCTGCGGCTAACCGGCAGTGCGGAATGGAAAACAAGGAGCGGAAAAACTGAGAGCGGTGAAATGAGAAGCGGATGGGATAAGCGGGGAGCGGGAAGGGGACTGGAGGTTGGGTTGGGTGGGCTGGCTGGGAGGGAGGGACTCGGGACGGGAATCGGGAGTTCCCGGAGGGACCACGGGAGACTCTTGGGCTTGCCGGAAGGGGAAGGGGAGAGCGGTGGGATTTGGTAGGGTGAGGCCTCGGCAGAAGAGTGGCTTGGAGGGGAACACCAGCAGCAAGGCGGAGGGAAAGCGAGGGTTTCGCTGCAGAAACGACAAGATAGGGGACCTCCTGGGGGCTTGCTCCGCGTCACCAGGGCACCAGTATCCAGATCGACGGCGGTGAGTGCACATCATTGCTGCCTGCCGAAATACACGGTGGGGTTTGATACAAAGTTCGAAAGCTTGGATCGAGAGGCGTCGTTATTGTGACACCGTGTCAGAAGAACGCATGAATTAAGGTGCAATAGTGCGCTGGCAGATTCAGAAAAGGCTTCAGACGTAAATAACTATACTAACATTCCAACCTAGATTATGGGGAAAGTATGTCAATGGTAACATACATGGGGCTCTTTAACGCGTACAGTAACTATTACAGTACATTTTCACGCGTTTGGTAACTCGTTTCACGCAATTGGTAACTTAGCACTGGCGAATGATCACGCGAATGGTAACTAGATGAAACTCCTGCCGAAATGATCCTGACTAAGAGGAATTTGTTAAATTGAAATATTTCACGCACCGTTTAATCGATCTTGAACGATTCCCGCCGTGACTTTGAAGGATCGCGTTTGTTCAATTACCACGGACCAAATAGTTTCAGAGCCGTTTCATATCTATTTTAAGCTCTGAAATATAGTACTAACAAGTACAATAATATTCTTGCAAGCATGATTGCATAATTGCAAAATGATGAAATTTTCCCGGAAAAGCGACAATACTTTTATAAAAAATAAATGTGTGATTAGTGCAGCGTGGGATAATTTTGGAGGTGAGAAAATAATACACCCTTCCGAATGGCATGCCTTTATTGTAGAAATAGCATTGAACGCCCTGTCGCAAGGAGTTTAGGGTTGATGCTCTCAAAATCATTTGCCATCCGAAAGGGGTATATATTTTTTGCCCCGGTTGTTCGATAGAATTAAGTAAAATCAGTTTTCCGCGAGCGCCAGAATATCAGCGTTATATGAGAAACGGTTTTCAAAACAGCAACTGTTTACGAAATAGTCCGAATTTCGGAAAGTGTGTCAGAATTTCGGAAAGTGTGTCAGAATTTCGGAAAGTGTGTCAGAATTTCGTGCTTCAGGACTCGTCAATTCAGTCTGGCGCGAGCGGGAAAAACCAGAATCAGGGTCAAGTTGGACGAGGGTTTCTTCTAGTTACCATTCGCGTGATGGCTTGCCAGTGTATGAAAAGAATGAAGAACGAGGATGAATGAACTATGAATGAGGTGAGTACATATGGAAAACCCTAATTGGGTTGTACCCCCTATGGGATACCCCACTATAGCCTACACAACAGCATAAGCTATATAATGTTCTGACACACCCCCATAGGCAAAGTGGGGGAGAACAAGGGGTCACAAGACCAGTCAAGCAAAGCAGAGCAAGCTCAGGGTGGATCACAACGTCACCACACAGTCCGAGCACAACGACAAGGCCACAAGGCCAGTTCACATGCAGGAGTACACATATATATATAGAGCTAGACAAGCAAGAGCAGGTATATATATGTGACAGTACAAGTAAGGTCAAGAGGAGAGCAAGTGAGGCAAGACAGGTACAAGACCCAGCTGAGTGCAGAAGCGCTGATGGTCACAAGGCGCAAGTGCCTTGGTGAACACATCAGCAGTGTTGGCCTGAGAGGCCACGTACGCAAGTCGCAACTGACCACGCTGCTGCAGCTCACGAGCAAGAAAGTAACGGAGAGCAATGTGCTTCGTTCTGTGCTCCAAGCGCTGCTCTCGACACAAGGCCAGCATGGCCTTGTTGTCTACGTACAGCACTGGAGGAGAACGAGGCGGCTCTCCAAGGTCAGTCAGCAGGTAGGTGAGCCAGCGAAGCTCCTGTGCAGCCATGGCCCCGGCGTAGATCTCAGCCTCACAACTGGAGCCGAGAACAGAGGACGAGCGAGTAGCTCGCCACGAGACAGAGCCGGAACCAAGACTGAAGGTGTAACCCTGCGACGACCGCTGCGTAGCCTGGTCGTCAGCCCAAGAAGCGTCCGCGTGCCCAGTGAGGACCACTGGACTCCGCCCTCCAAGCACTAGTCCCATGCCCGACGTACTGCACAAGTATCGCAACACCCTCTTCGCTGCAGCCATGTGCTCTGGTCGGTGTCTCCCAGGAGCAACATAGCGTGCAAGAATGCTAAGAGGGTATGCAAGGTCAGGTCGTGTGCAGGTCATCAGGTACATGAGGCAGCCAACAAGCTCTGGATACGGGCCACTCGACTCTACTGACTCATCCGAAGGCAGAGCTGAGAGTGAGTGGCGAGTAGGCAGAGGAGTGGCCTGAGGCGAGGAGTACGTGAAGCCGAAGCGCTGAAGGACCTGCTGCACCATGTGTGACTGAGTCAGGGTAATGGTGCGGCGTGCTCTGTCCCGGGTGATCTGCAAGCCAAGGTAGCTGCGCAGTTCACCCAGGTCTGTGCACGTGTGTCTCTTCTGCAGCTCGGACTTCACGTGGGCGAGTCCAGCAGTGTCAGCTGTGGCAAAGACCAAGTCGTCGACGTACACGAGGATGTAGAACGGCGGCAGAGAGGTGTCGGTGCGTAGAAACAGCGACGGGTCGGCAGTAGAAGGAGCAAACCCAAGAGCCGCAAGCGTAGTCCTCAGTGTGTCGTGCCACTCACGTGGCGCCTGGCGGAGACCGTAGACTGGACGCCGGAGACTCCACTGGGTACCAGGAGGGAAAGACCCAGTGAAGCCAAGTGGGCGGCGCAGCCAGATCTCCTCGTGCAGGCTGCCCTGCAAGAAAGCAGTGCTGAAGTCGAGAGAGTGCAGCTCGTAGTCACGGTGAGCAGCAACGTGTAGCAGCACCCGAAGAGTGGTCATCTTCGGGGTGGGGGAGAAGGTCTGAAAGTAGTCAACTCCCTGTCGCTGACTGAAGCCACGAGCCACGTAACGTGCCTTGAAGACAGGCGGAGAACCCGGCGGCCGCTTCACCCTGAAGATCCACATGCCACTGACGATGTTCGCCCCAAGAGGGGGGACAGCGTCAACGTAGGTGCCTGTGGACTTCCAGGAAGCCATCTCTGCATCCATAGCTGCCTGCCACTGAGAGGAGTAGGGACCCTCTATCGCCTCCGCGTAAGAGCGCGGAGTCGGGATGTCAAGTGCATCCGGGTCTCCCTCAGGGGTAAGCAGTACGGACACGAGATGAGGTGAAGTAGCTGCCAGACACTGGAACTCCTCCTGCCTGTCCTCAAGGACGTCCGTGCCAAGGGCACACTCACCCCCGACTGACGGAGGACAGGCAGACCCAGACTCAGCGACAAGACTAGCAGCGTAGTCTAGGCGACAGCGAGCAGCAAAGTCGACGAG